TCTATGCATCCCCCCAGACCCCATTGTGCTGGAGCTGGCGCCGCGCCGCCAATTTCAAATTTGAATTTTCTATTTTCTCCCGGACGATCAAGCAGGTTTGATACCAAAAAAAGGATTCTGCCACGCATAATATTTTTTGCGAACATTTCAAGTTGTGCAAAAAAAAAATTTTACATCTATTATGACTGTCAAACCTCAACATTTCCCTTTTTATTCATTTTTTCGGCCTTAAGACGTACCGTAGCGAGGAGGGTCAAACTCACTTTTTGACGTATTTTTTGTTCCTCTATCCAATAGATTTTTTTTTTTTTTTTGGAATTCGATATTTGAATTTTTTCGACAAAAAAATTCAAAGGGTATAGCCTTCGATTTTTTTTTTAAATTTTCAAACCGTCCTAGCTCGAAAACGAAAAGCTTGTGAGAAAAACTTCGAATGTAAAACCTATAGATCTCGTCGAGTACTACAAGAAAGCCTATAAGAAGTATCCCTTCCGGGGGGCACCGTTTTCGAGAAAATCGACCTCGAAAATTTTAACAAAATTACAAGAAATTTCAACTTTGACGGCCAATATCTCAAAGATAAAAAAACTGTCTGGAATCTCAATAAAAAAATATTTTGTAGATAATTTCGATCGATAATAATAATCGTCTTTCAAATGAGATACGACTCGAAACGATCGGTTAAGAAAAAGCGGAGTTATAGGCGAAAAAGTGGTCTCGTGTCGGATACCCACACTTTTTTTCTGATTAAAATCGAAATTTATTTTTTTTCGGCCTTAAGATGTGCCGCAGCGAGAAGGGTCAAATTAACTTTTCGACGTATTTTTTGCTCCTCTATCCGATAATTTTTTTTTTTTTTTTTATCATTCGATAATTGAATTTTTTCGACAATGCAAGGACTAGTACGCATTACGTGGACGGGTTAGTTTGGGCTAGTTTGCATATTTTTGGTTAGTTTCGTTGCAGTTCATTTGATACTGGTTATAAGTGTACTGGACTACTAGTTAATAACAAAGCACGCTGTTTTTTTCTAAATTCAATACATGCAAGGACTAATACGCATTACGTGGGTTAGTTTGGGCTAGTTTGCATATTTTTGGTTAGTTTCGTTGCAATTCATTTGATACTGGTTATAAGTGTACTGGACTACTAGTTAATAACAAAGCACGCTGTTTTTTTCTAAATTCAATACATGCAAGGACTAATACGCATTACGTGGGTTAGTTTGGGCTAGTTTGCATATTTTTGGTTAGTTTCATTACAGTTCATTTAATACTGGATATAAGTATACTGGACTACTGGTAAACTGGTACACAAGTAAAAAAACAATCCGGACGAATAATAATATAATAATCCGGAAATTCCGGGCTAATAAAAAAAATATTCAACCGGAAGATCCGGGTGATCAGGGACACCCTAAATAAAAATCCTACACAATAAGAGTTATCACATAGAAGTGAAGCATAGAAAAAATGTGGAGAGACCCAAGAAGAAACGTGCTTTGTGCGTCGATGCATGTTGCAATCCATCATATCCTAGTCTAGTATGTATCAAAATTTTTAACACATTCAATGACACCCGATTTTGTTAACATATTTTTAACTGGCATTAGCGGCATTTCCCGCCAACGTCATAATGCGAATGCGGGCGTTCTGTGATGCAGGCGCTGACGTAATATGACGCATTTCCTTTTTTGGTCCTCGTCTACTAAGGTCCTGACGGGAGCTAGCATTGTATGCCGTCGATTTAGCGTATATTTGGTATTAGGGTGCCATATTGGAAACCCAAAAATATATATTTAGAATGGATAGTATAATTAACGTCCCCGGAACCACCCGAGACACAGGTTAATACATTGCAGCATATCAAGGTGTCGTTCTAAGCGCAGATCCATATTTTTGGTGCCGTTTTCGACACAGTGGCTATGACGGTAAATATTTATTTATTTATTTATTTATTTATTTACGTATAAGAAAAATACATTTGAAGTTGAACAGAGTTTACATCTAAAAAAAAAAAAAAATCTAACCTAAAACAATTCTCCTGGCCTTCATCTTAAATTTATCCAGAGATAAACCAAAGAACTCAAGGCCCTCACAGAACTTATTTACATTGGCAGATATTCTATTCACAGGACTGAATAGTAGGTACCAGGTTCGACAGTAAGGAATGTGCAGTAAAGATTTACTTCGTGTCTGATAACTTTGAATGTGTAGATTAAGACATTCAAGACATTCGTGGCTTTTTATGTAGTAGTTAAGAATTTTAAATGCAAAACAGACATCAAAATATTCCCTTCTGCGAACAAGAGTAGATAAGTCTAAATAAGTCATAGTCAGGTCATCACTGAGAATTACACCACTCAAAGAAAGTTTGTACCTTGCAAACTTAATAAATTTGTGTTGAACACTCTCAAGCCTATTGATGTGGATCTGATAGTAAGGTGACCAAACTATGCATGAAAATTCAAGAACGGACCTGACCTGTGATGTGTAAAGAATTTTGATAGGGCGTATACTTGTAAAGTCCCTAGTAGCTCTCTTAATAAACCCCAACATTTTATTAGCCCTGCCAATTACCACTTCAAAATGCTCAGTGAACATTAGCCTAGTATCTAGATAGACACCAAGATCTTTAATGATAGAAACTTCAGACAAGCGAACATTGTTTAAGTAATACTGCAAGGGAACACTATGGGTGCGTCTACTGAATCTTATACAACAGCACTTATCGATGTTGAGGGACATGTAATTAAGCTGACACCAATCGTGAACGATGTTAAGATCATTTTGCAAAATAAGTATGTCTTGAGTTGACGTCACCTGACGATACAACTTCAAGTCATCAGCAAAAAGTAAAAAATTTGACGAGAGCAACGATCCTAAATCGTTGATAAATAAGCTGAATAGGAGGGGGCCCAAGTGAGAACCTTGGGGTACCCCAGAGGATGCATGGAAAAGAGAAGAAAGATAGCCATCGATCTTGACTTGTTGCATTCTGTTAGTAAGGTATGATTTCATCCATGAAAATAAATGTCCAGAAACGCCGAAACTTGAAAGCTTTGAAAGAAGGATGTTGTGATTTACCTTATCAAAGGCTTTACTGAAGTCAGTATATATTGCATGAGTTTCTGCATTATTAGCAAATGATGAATTTATGAATGTTGTAAAGAGAAACAGGTTCGTCTCAACGGATCTACCGGCTGTAAAACCGTGCTGTTGACTGATCACAATCTGATGAAATATTTTTGAAAGAATTCCTTCCACGCACTGCTCAAATAATTTTGGAATCGCAGACAGAATGCTGATGGGTCTGTAATTTATTACATCATTTTTGCTGCCTGACTTGTAAATAGGACAAACGTAGGAGAGCTTCCACATTTCTGGAAAAATTCCAGAAGATAATGATTTGTTGAAAATATTAAACAGAGGAAGATACAAAGTGTTAGAACAAGATTTTAGTACTTTGTTGGGAATACCATCAGGTCCTGCAGACTTGTTGATGTCCAATTGCGTTAAAGCCCTCTCAATATCTGTTGGATCTATGACAATGCTTGAAACATTCTCAAATCGATCAGCAAAGGTTCCAGCGTCGGAATTTCTCTGAGGGTTATAGACGGAGGAGAAATAGACAGCAAAAAGATTAGCTATGTCAACACCGTTGGACGCCTTTTCTGAGGCAAGAAACATTTCGTTAGGAATAGTACCCTGATTAGATTGGGAGTGAATAAAGTTCCAAAAAATTTTCATATAGGTGCCTATGGCTCTTTCAGTATCACTTATGTATAATTTATAGCACTCTTTGGTGAGGTTTTTACAATCTCGCCGAAGTGTACTAAATGCAAAGTAATCCAAACCTCTATTCGACCGCTTGAATCGTCTGTGAGCAATTTTCTTATGAAAAATCAGATTTTTCAATTCGTTAGAGAACCAGATAGGAAATTTCTCGTTGTAAGAATGTGCCTTTATTGGAACAAACATATTAAAGCAGTCGAACAGTACCAAGTAAAAGCTCTTAACAGTTTCGTTTAGATCGTCCATCATAATGGATCGCCAATCAAAGGAAAGAAAATATTCATTAACCAAATCAAAATTGGCATTTTTAAAGTCATAAGAAAAATAATTAAGAGGCTTCAGAAATTTAGCTTTAACAACAGGTATGGAAAACTCTAGAGCTGGGTGATAACGATCACATCCCACCAGACCGTCAGATGTTACAAGTGAAATAGGCCCAAAGTTGGCAAAACATAGATCCAGGATTGAACCATGATCGTTAGCCACCCCATTGTATTGAGACAGATTAAGAGAAGCAGTACTATCGCATAACAATATTTCCTTAGTTGTCCTTACATTTCCAGGTAATAAACCCGAGAGATCCTCACTAGTGGACCACGTTATTTGGGAAAGATTATAATCTCCAAGAACAAGCACATTATCAAACATTTCACAGGCACTAGCAACTGATTTCAAATGGTTTTCATAATGGAGCACATCCATGGTAGGTGGAATGTAGACACAGCCAATACAGAAGACCATGTCACCCAGCGTAACAAATGCCGCGGGTGTCATTGAATGTGTTAAAAAAACTGTAACAGTCACAAATAAAATATTAATTTTTTAATGTTTCTTGTCCACATCGCCGTCAAGTTAGTACTGTTGGACCTTACCCCAGATGCCCTACATTATACAGTCGCATTAACTACGTGATCACTCGTAGGGGGGCGATATACTAGATACTGCTAAGTACAAGATAATTCGTAGTGGGCATCTGATTCAAGTAGCCAAATCCGAGTTATCTCGTAATCGGCAGTCAACATGTTAATGAAAAATGCAAATAGTTTTTCATTTGTAGACATCAAGAGGCCCTTGATGAGAGTTTCTTGAAACCTGAACATATAATTACATATTTATAATGGTTAAAACAGATAAAACCTCGGGTTAAACAAATATCTTGACAAATATACTAATATTTTTGAAGATTTGTCTTGATCCTGTCCTCACCTTATGATGTCCAGTAAGCATAACTTTATCCTGTACCTTTTTGCTATAGACAAGGTTGACCACTTTGTTAAACAAAAAGGCTCTCCCTGTAGCTGCCATGAATCTTGTACTAATCAATTCTGCTCCATTGGTTACAATTGTGTCACATCTTGCACAGGCAAAGAGACGAGTTCCCCCCATATTTTCCAAAAATACCTTACCCATTGTCGCTGTGCTGAAAATAATATGGATAAAGATGAATTGTTTATCTTATGTTTTATAAATTTGGCTTTTAAAAAGGGTAGATAAATATTGTAAGAAAAATGTTTTTCAAGACATATAACCTAGTCGTGAACTATGGTACCTACCTAAATCAAACTACTACCATTCAGTTAGTAATTGTGTGCAGCACACTGTGCAGCATAGGAAGTTCTAAACACCAGAAAATAAAGTTCAATGCTCCAAAAATATTGAAAATAAACAAAAATTTCTACCTTGTTTTGACTCACTAGTGACTAGTGAGTGACTGATTCCTGCTTAGGGATGTCAATAACCGGTAGTTAAAACCGAAAAACGGGTGTTTTCTCTTCGGTTAACCGGTTAATACCAGTTGTTTTTTGCCTCCAGTTATAACCGAATAACCGGGTTTTATACCAACCGGTGAAAGTGAAAAAATAAACACGTAGACTTTTCTCTGTTGTTTCCATAACTTTAAAATATATTGAATAAGCGACAACAGTCTTTTTAACCGATAGTGCCCGTGCCCATCTCTAGTATTTCAGTTTCGGTTAATCCGTTCAGCAGCTGGTTGATTTCCATCTTTCTCTAATGAGCGGTATTGAAAAAAGACATGTACCATCGTCACCAAAAGTAACTGGCACAGCATCACATTAGCTCTTGGCCTATTACATGAATTCAATTGTCAAATATTTGTCAAACTATGAATCAAATGCATTGAAATCAGCGTTGCCAACTTAGCGGATTTCCCGTCATATCTAACGTAGGGTGACCATACGTACAGCATTTCGCTGTATTGTAAAGCATTTTCAAAGTCTGTCCAGCATTTAATTTTGTACAGCAAACGTACAGCGATTCGGATCCGATCATAATTAAGTTTTTCTTAAAAAAAAAATTACGAAAAATTGCCCGTCAATAACTAACGACATTTCTACATTTGCGATTTACGTCATTTACGCCATCATTTTCCAGAGTATTCTTTTTAATGCTAACTACCTTTTTTATCTCTCTCTATTCCACGCTGCTAAGAAGAAGACACAGCATAATAGGTCTGTTTCTGCAGCAATCACAAACCAGTCAGCACGAATTTCATTGGTTGAAAATAGTCAGCAAGTCAGAAACAGTCAGAAAACTAATTTCAACCCAAGGTTTCTAAAGTTAATAGGTTGTCTGGTAATGATGAACAGGTGACGTCATCAGAGGGGGGATTCTCATCCCCTAGTCGCAACTTATCTTCCCGACTCACTTGTAGAAAGGCAATTGGATAGTCGAGACGATAGGTTGCGACTAGAAGATGAGAATCCCCCATCAGGAAGATCTAATGGAGATTTGCATTATTTCAGGCATCCAGATGACGTCATAAAAGTTATCAGCCAACCTACCTCTTTCAAACAACCTTGGTTTCAAACATCAAGGTTTTCAACCAATGAAATTTCACTCTGACTGGTTTCTGATTTCTATGCGAACAGACCTATTATGCTATGTTTTTTTTTTTTTTGTTAAGTCGTACTAAAACGGGCTATAAAAGGTCTGTTCCCACAGGAGTCCCTGACAGTTTGAAACCTGTCAGAAACAGTCGCTCAGCTGAGTTACAGATTTATCTTGTAACGACAGCATTGAAAACATGTATGAGCGATGGTTACTGACAGTTTGCAAACTGTCAGAGACTTCTGTGAGAACAGACCTAGTGTCGACAAAATTTGTATCTAGTGCTTTCTCCACTCACCTATCCCAAAACTTTAGATGTGTACAGCATTCATATACGGAAAAAATATGGTCACCCTAATCTAACGGATTTTGGTGAAGGGAAGCGGAAAAAAAACAGTTTCAACGGGTGACGGATTTTTTAACGGAAACTAAGGGCGAGAACCCACGGGCGTAATTGACGTAAGCGTAACATGAGCGTAACTAATCATGTGTTTTAATTTGTACGATTTCATTGGCGGCAATGCAGCCATCTTGAATTTTTGACATTACGCTGCCGCTACGGCAAAAAGTTGGGTTTTGTTGAACTTTTCGGCGTAATCGTGGCAAATTTGTGACGTAATGTATGAGGTGGTTCAGCTTGGCAGAACGGAGTTGGGGCGGATAAAGAGCAGTTTCATAGTTACCTGAACACAGAGCGAAAAGAGTAAAATGGTTAGTCGAACGCATTAGGAGCAAGGCGAGCCGCGGCCAATGAAGAAATGCCGCGGCCTCCGAATGCTTATCCCCATCACAAACCGGAACATGTTTTTCTGCGGATATTTTGGGGAGCGATGCCATTTTTTCTACCAGGATCCCCAGGGAGCAACCAGGCCCTAAGCAAAAAAAATATTTTTTGAATTCTTTAGGTTAGGATCGTTAGGATAGTGAATTATTGAGAACCTAAATTTTACGCCTTTTTGGAATATAGGAAGTGCGCATGCTCGCTTCTCGAGTTTCATCTCGCGAGGTGGAGCTTATGGATATGGAGTTAATTATTTTCACTCTACTTGGCTGTACAAAAACGATGTGGAGCTTCCACTATTTGCTCCCAGTGGCCTGACCCGAACGATTTTGCAGTGAAAAGTGTCAGAGTCGAAAGAGTTGCCAAGCCGAACTCACCTACTCACTTATGATAGAACAATCACAGAAAATAAAAGGAAAAGGACTACAACAAATAAGTAAATTTTCATTACAACCTGGCAAAAAATAAACAAGATATTTATGTTAGAAAATGTTTTTGTTGTTGTTTTGATGCACTACATGCGGGATGTTAAGCCAAAATTCGCGTAGAATTGACGTTCACGCCGATTGCGCTAACTACGCCCGTGGGGATTCGCCCTAAAACAGAATTTTTGCGACGAACTACTTCTATGATTTCATGAACACAAACGCTTCCGCGAGAAACTCATGACGTTATATTGAACTTAGTTCGCCGGAAGCATGGACGCAGCTTCTAGTCAGCGTTCTAACTTATGACGTCACAAGACGAACTATGGTTCGTCCTTGGAGGAACTACATTGGTCGCGAAAATCCGGTTTGTTTTTGCTTGAAAATTCTAAATTATGTTCTGTCCTAAATGTAAAATCTGTTTTTTTTTTTAAGATAATTCCCCAAGTCAAAAATTTAGTAACTATGTTGGCAACACAAGCATTTTCTACATGAAAAATTTGATAGCATTGACAATTTTACATTATATTGTCAACCTAATGTCAGTTTGACTTTTATCTTAAAAAAAAAAACGCACTTTAATGACGTTTAGCGATTCAAGCTATTTTTAGTCTGTAAACCAGAACAAGCCTTTACGAAAAGCTGATCCGACTATCCCGATCACCAGCTGATGCTATCTGTCTTTTTTCAATGGTGTTTATTGAAAAAAGATGAAATACAAACAGTCGGGTGAATCGGATTCTCAGCCTCTAGTCGCAACCTATCATCCTGAATTTCCCATTGCCTTTCTAGAGGTGAGTCGGGAAGGGACGTTATATCGACTAAGGATTGAGAAGAGAATCCCACAGCAGATCACAGTCGTTGGCTCCACGTGATTTGGTAGGCACTACCCTGAAAACATTTCATATTTTTAGCGCATTTCGCATTTTTTATTCTGACGGATTTTATTGACGGAATGAAAAGTGGTTTAACGGATTTTTGACGGAAACCTACAGCAAAGTTAACGGAATTAAAAAAATACTGTTGGCAACACTGATTGAAATGAATGACAGTAGAACTAGTCCAGGAGATTATTATGCATTATTTGTGTCCCAGATACTTTTGGTGACGATGGTACATGTAGGTATAAAAAAAACACATAGTTGCGGCCATTGGAACTGGCACTAATTTTTGAACGCCAAATATAAGGCTTAAAACTGACACAATTTTGGCATTAACGGCCTGTTAAAAAAAAACAAATTTTGATGCATTAGTTGTATTCCTTTCAAAAGCTTGAAACACTTGAGCTACTCGCTTCGGTGTTAGTCGAGCCCGATTTGAAAGGAACAGATGCGCTGGCTTTCATGCATTTAAATGGTTTGAGTCGGGCTTCAGCACTCAGGTGCAACAAACACTTTTCGAAAGGAATAAGCGCGTAACGCCCCGGAGCTGTTCCGGAGCTCCTCTTAGGTGTGAAAGGAATACAACTATAACAAGGTGCGTTCGAAAATTTGTGCCAATTCGAATGGCCGCAACTGTACATGTTAAAAATGAAAGAAGAGAAATAACCAGTTTAGAAAAGTTTAAGTATTCTTTGATGCTTTTTAACATGTAAAGCCTAGTACTCATAACTGCGAAATTCGCATTTTTTTGACATTGCGTTGACAATTTGACGTTTTATGCGTGTATCAAACGTCAAATTGTCGAAGCAATAGAGAGTTATTGGAACTATTAAATACTGCCTTGCAGTATTAAGGATCTACGTTATTTTATTAGTGCATCAGCACTATTTTTCCAAGAAAAAAACAGTTATTGGAAGACTGTAGTAGTTGCTAGAGTATTACCTTATTTTGTATTCATAATTTTGACAGATGATAGCTATGTTCATAAATTTTAGCCTCAAAAAGTGTTTATTTTTGTTTGTGATTTTCTGCTGATACTCATTTTTTGATGTTACCCACAGTAAAATGGAAAAATATTATAAAATATAAATTTTCTAAATAAAATTACGTTATCGTCGGAAAACAAAACGTCAAAGTCGTCCAAAATGTCAGAAATTTGAAATAAGGGAAGTTTACTGCCTTGCACTAACCATACACAAATAAAGACAAGCAGTAACCTTATTAAGGGAGTCCTTAATTTCGGACCCAAATGCGCATGCGTAGATGTCAAAATAAGGATAATTTAAATAGTGCTTGTCCTTATTGCACGTCCAATAACTCTCTATTGTCAAAAAAATGCGAATCTCGCAGTTATGAGTACTAGGCTTAACAGTTTCCGATTTTTTTTACCATTAAGATATGTTGTTGTTTAAGTTATGTTACCTACATTATAATATAAATTATGCAATTATTCTAATATTATTCGGCAAAATAACCGAGCAACGAGTTAACCGGAATAACCGGTGTTTTATATCAGTTATAACCGGGCAGTTATAACCAATGAACTATAGCTAAAAACTGGAATGCGCACGCCATATCTGCCAAAAAAATGTAACCATGAAAGATAGATGCCACAAAGGGGAATGTTGTTTTTTTCTGTTGCTTGCTGACATATGACGTTTTCGAAAGTTTTGTCATATTTCCCTTCACAGGTTTCATCAATTGGAATACGTGTTGGGAGCAATTTTCGCCATTTAACATAATGAGTGCGACAAAAACAGGTATCCCCTCCGCAGCAGCCGCACTAGGCTTCAAGTTCGTCCTTATGTGTTAGCATTCCAGTTTTTGGTTATAGTTCATTGGTTATAACTGTTAGTAAATTAACCGGTTAATGAAAAAACCGGTGTTTTGAAAAAAATTGACGTTTCTATTCCTGCTTGAGCTTGACAGACTAGACAGTCAAAAGAGTGAGGTTAGGTTAACTCATTTGATATGCCTGTGACGTCACTACAGAGGCAAGAACAATCTCAAATAACATTTTCGGCTTTAGTGCGCTTTCATATTGACACCGCTCGAGCGGTGAGCGTTGCGCGATGCCGCTGTAGTGATGCCCAAAAATAATTTTAACATTATATTTCAAATGAACCTAGTCACACTGAAGCGGCGCGTCCCGCGGTGTTAACGTGTTCACTCGAAATATAATGTTAAAATTATTTTTGGGCATCGCTACAGCGGCATCGCGCAACGCTCACCGCTCGAGCGGAGCCAATGTGAACGCGCACTTAGGCTCTGCTCCCAGTGCTCCCAGAACGCTCCCCGTCTTGAAGCGCCCTGAATGGTGACGTCACTACTGTGTTCGTTTTTGTCATTTTTTTCGTATTTGCTCCGAAAATTTGTCAGGCATGTGATTTGTAAATTGGCACTGTCTGGGGCCTTATTCTGTAAGAACGAACCTTTCGATTCGGTAGAATTTCTTCGATTGTGACGTCATTTTTGGTTTGGTTTTCGCGCTACCAAACCGAAAATGACGTCACAATTGAAGAAATTCTACCGAATCGAACGGTTCGTTCCTTACAGAGAGGCCGAGTTCGTTTTTGTCATCTTTTTCGTCGATTTGCTCCGAAATTTTGACAGGCACGTGATTTGTAAATTGAAACTGTCTTATCTATTCACGTGCCTGTCAAAAATTCGGAGCAAATCGACGAAAAAGATGACAAAAACGAACTCGGCCAGAATAAGGCCCTTGATCCAGTCACGTGCTTGTCAAAATTTTGGAGCAAATCAACGAAAAAGATGACAAAAACGAACACGGCCGAGGGCCGTTATATGTTCGCTAGTTCTCGAGTCGGCAGCTGATGTGCGGGTGACGTCACCTTTATCAGCAGCTGGTAGTGCTGACTTCACCCGCAGAGCTCTACGGATTGTTTGCGATTGTCTGTGATTGTCATGCCAAGTTCTTGAGTCTATTTCTTTTAGAGAATCTCTTTGTTCGCGGTACAAATTGAATCGGTTCTGGGTATGATCAGGAAATGAGGCATGAATGTGATCTACAATCCTGAATTAGCGTCGACTAGTGCAGACCGGTTTGAAATTGGTTCGTAGCCGCTTGAAACTAGTTCACGAATATCGTTGAGCACACGACCAATAATGAACCAGTTTCAGGATTTCAATTTACCGATTCTGGTTGGACCGCGAAGAAAGAACTGTAGCAGAATTGTGCATTAGGTGCTCCACGAATGACCCGCGTGTGGCTTCAAATTCAGCTGATTAGCCACACGCGTGCGTGTGAGTAAAGATGCATATGCGTGCGTGTGCGTAATGACGAATACGCGTGCGTGTGAGAAAAATGCGTACGACTTAGGGAGGGTATTATAAAACTGCTATGAGAGGTAACTTAAATTTAACTTCTGGAATTACATGTAATTCAAAAAGTTAACTTTAAGTTAACTGTCAAAGCAGTTTTATAATACCCGCCCTTACCTACCAAAGTGCTGAGACTCATATCTCTGCGAGAGTGCTCTGAGAGCGATTATAGGTCTGTTTTTGCACCAATTAAAAACGCTCTGACTGGTTTGTGATTTCTTTCTAGTCTTCGAATTTGACGGAGCAAGATGTAGCGCTCCGTGCGAAATTTAAGAGCGTTCTATTGCTCAAGTCGCACACGTGAATCTAGCCGAAAGCAACGCTCTGTTTCAAACCAAACATGTGAATCCATTTCGGGGCAAAAATCGAAAACGCTAAGAGTCAAAAAATTGTCTCGTTTTTAGTGTTTTTCATATTATTCCTTTTAGGGCGGGTATTATAAAACTACTTTGAGAGTTAACTTAAAGTTAACTTCTGAAATTACATGTAATTCAAAAAGTTAACTTGAAGTTAACTGTCAAAGCAGTTTTATAATACCCGCTCTTAGAAGTTTAGAAATTCTGAGCTACTCGCTCCGGTGCTAGTCGACCCCGATTTGAAAGGAACAGATGCGAGGACTTTCGTGCATTTAAATGGTTTGACTCGGGCTTGAGCACTTCAGATGCAACAAACACTTTTCGAACGGAATAAGGGCGGGTATTATAAAACTGCCTTGACAGTTAACTTGAAGTTAACTTTTTGACGACTATAGAACAGTCGGGCTCTAAAGGGCCCCATACACTACGATGAAACACGACAGTTTTCATCGCCGCCATGAAACACGTCGTTCCAAAACCGAAGTGTGTGGTAGAAAAACACGATGGTTTTCTCTCGGGTTTTCTCTACCACACACTTCGGTTTTGGACCGACGTGTTTCATCGTGGCGATGAAAACCGTCGTGTTTCATCGTGGTGTGTGGGGCCCTTAAGCTATCGTGGCCCCCTATTTTACAAGTTTATTTTTTATTTTACGTTGTTTTTTTTTATCAAACAACTTCAAATGCACTTCCTGAATTTGAATAAATCAATCGCTGAAACCGGATATAACCTGTTTCTGTCAAAACCAACAGCGTTTTCACGACTCTTAAACTCTGGCCGCCATTTTGCCAACGTTTCCACGCGTGTACTTTCTATTTGTCTAGGAATCTAAGGGCGGGTATTATAAAACTGCTTTGACAGTTAACTTGAAGTTAACTTTTTGAATTACATGTAATTCCAGAAGTTAACTTTAAGTTAACTCTCAAAGTAGTTTTATAATACCCGCCCTTAGAATGGTAATTGTAGTAAAACATATGCACAATCCTCGCAGGATGATAACCTGTGGTGCAAACAACTTACGTCAAGGCCAGAAACGACACGCTGTACGTCACAAATGGTGATTTGGCATAGTGGGGCTTCAGATTTGTTTGAGGATAGGCTGTATCATCTAGTAGTAGTGTGTATTATCCTTGGTCGGCATTATTCCATTAATCCAATTCACGTGGCTCCGGTTTAACAAACCACAACATACCGCACAAATTCGAGTGGTAGGTATCCACACGTCATTTTGTAACCGGGTTAGAAAACGGTATGTCATTTCTCTAACCGTTTTGTAACCCGGTTAGTTAAACCGGAGCCACGTGAAAAGAACTTTTAATTTTCTTGCAGAGATAAAAAGCTTGTTCGCCCCTTGCTCCGATTTCTCGTGACGAATCACCTAGTAGCTCCAATCTCTAATCTTTGAACTTTTGTCGACTACTACAACGCGATATTTTTGAGGTTAACTGTTAACTTTTGTTTGATTTTTTCGGCTTGGGTTTGTATCTCGATTCTTGTTCAATCTAGGGTTTCATCAATTTAAAACCGTTTATTTTACCCATTTTATACCGAAAAAGCCTAGTAAAACATGTCAAAAGCTCATCCACCAGAATTAAAAAAGTAAGTGAACAATAATCCATGCCTTTCCATTATTAAATATATTGAATTGCAACTTTTATAGGTTCATGGACAAGAAACTATGCTTGAAACTCAATGGGGGCAGACAAGTTACTGGCATTTTGCGGGGTTTTGACCCTTTCATGAACTTGGTCGTAGACGAGAGTCTTGAGGAAGGTAGAAATGGCTCCAAAAAGAACATCGGCATGGTGGTAAGTTATTATTATGATAATAAAGTTGTGTCGATATTTTCATCAAGATGCCTAAGCTGTTGCCTTTGTTCTTTACTTGAGCCCCTATAATATAAGCATAGTATAAGTATGGATATAATATGTGAAAAAGTTTAAAATAGTTTAATTTGTTTCAGGTGATCAGAGGCAACAGTATTGTGATGTTAGAGGCACTGGATCGAATCTAGATTTTCCACTTTCTTTTAGATTAAGGTTGTATACTTGATATGTAATTTGTATTTCTCAATGGTTACGGTTGCTTATGTAGCTCAAGATCCAATTAAAATAAGCCAAAGTGCTCTTTCTAAGTGTTTCTCAGTATCATTATTATTTATAACTCAATAAACCATACATGGGCAACTAAATCTAAGATGGTCATCTTAAAAATGGTGTTTAATTATTTTTGAATTATTAAAAGAATTTTGGTAGAAATAATCTGATTTTTTTGTTACAAACTCACTTGTTTTAAACCAAAAAGACACTTTCTAATTATGTTTTTAAAATTGGGACACAGTTTTTACACATAAACAAGAATCTATAATTGATAATAATACATAATTACATATAAAGAAATTATGATTTTAAAAAAGATCAAAAAAACTTGATCAACCTCAAATGTTTTTCAATGGTTTTCGATAAGGTACCAGCACCAGAAATTGCTGAAGCAGTGCAAGCATCCTTTGGGTGCTCAATAATTCTTATTTAGATAGGAAAGTAACTATCTACTTCAAAATATTGAGATAACTACTGAGAAAAAAGATGTCACATGCAGATGCTCTGAGAAGACGTCCAATATGCAACCAACAAATCAAAATCATTTGGATTATGCTAGAAAACTTCCATGAACGGTGGTTTAGGGCATGGTATGACATTGGCCAAAATACTGATCTGGACTTTCAGAGGAGGGTCAGGTTGGTCAGTTTTAGTAACCATATTCCTCAAGAATGCAACCCATTTTGGCTACTTTTAAAATAAAATCTCCACTCAGAAAAATTGCCTTCCTTATCTTATCAAAAACGGCTCACCCAAATGTGATCAATATATACAGGGTGTCCCAAAAAGATACCGACAAACTTTAAGGGGTAGTAGGGGACATCAAAACAAGCATTTTTATATAAACACATGTCCGCAAATGAGCCATTTGGGCTATAGAGCAAAAAAACTGTTTGGTATCTAGTTTTATTCTTCGCAATAATTAAATCACTGTTTACGTATTAATTTTGCTTCAATAGCAAATAAATTATGGTTTACGATAATTTTTCAACTCGCGAACTCTTTGGAATATTCCGGGAATAGCTTCTACATGGGTACAACTCGCCAATATCCTTGCTATCAGATCTTCCTCATTACGAACAGGTGTTTCGTAGGCTAAACTTTTCAGTCAATGACCCGACGGTGTAATTTTTGCATTGAAGTAAATGGTCAACATTTTGAACAATTATTGTAAACCATAATTTATTTGATAATAAAGCAGAATTAATAAGTAAACAGTGATTTAATTATTGCGAAGAATAAAAGTATCAAACATGTTTTTGCTCTACAGCCCAAATGGCTCATTTGCGGACATATGTTTATATAAACAAAAATGCTTGTTTTGATGTCCCCTACTACCCCTCAAAGTTTGTCGGTATCTTTTTGGGACACCCTGTATATATTTGGAATCAGGAAGAAAAGATCTTTCATTTCATCGCATAATATACAGGCTGTTCCATTAAAAAAAGTAGAAGTTGCCTACGTTTCTCCATTTTCCAATGCGATTTTGTTTTTTCTGATAATGTTAAAAAAAAAATATAGAAAAAACTGTCAAGTTTAGTATTTAAATTTTTTTTCTATCCCAAATAGTAAAGTCCAAATATAATCAAATACCCTGTAAATACAGGAAATGTATCTTTTCATATGATCTGAAATGAAGAATTTATTATTATTATTAAAGCTCTCTTTTTTTAAAATTTATTTTGCTAAGCTCTAGCCATTTACAGAAAAAATAATGCATAGATTTCAATATCGAGTATATATTTCTCAACGTTATCCTCTTAAAAGTTCACAAATTGTTACCAAAACTAGAAAATATACAAAACGCTTAGGTACCTAATTACTAAACTACTCATTGTTACATGTTACTTATATTATGATTAGATTTATTATTATACAACAGACAACAGAGCCTACCAGTTCTTGTTTTGCTATAGTTGAGAGTCAACAGAGAAGAGAAAAAAATCTAAAAATAAAAAATCATTGCAACAAAGAAAAACATTATTGTAAACACAGCACATCTTGATTAGAATAAATTAAGCTTCAGTGAATTTTAGGATAGGATTAGGATTTTATTCGGATGAAACTTTCTTTGAAAACCCACCATTAGTTACACAACAATAGATAGGTGGAGGTAAGTATGAAAGAATTGGCAAAATATCCAAACTGGAATAATTTCTTTAATAAAAACAACATAACAGAAAACACCCTTAATACACCTTTCAAAATTACTCGTGAATTAACCATTCCTTGACCTCCCTGAAATTTTCAATCTACAATTCCATCCATAAACCGTTACACGAATAACTATCCAAACCGCATTATCAACAACCCCCTCCTGAAACCCCTTAAAATTAGTTATTTTGTTGTCTTCTTTCATAAAATGAGCGTTCCTCCATACCGTCGGTTTCAGTTACAAGCGCCCTTTCTAAAATCACGCGTCCCTCTTTGTATTTTTGATTGTCTTCAGTTGCAAATTCGTACATCCAGCCGAGCTTCGATTCGCAGGATTTACAGGACACGTCTCGTACCTGATTAAAAAAAATTTTTGGTATTAGTTGAAAATTAGCTGTTTTGGAAAAACACAATGAGAACAAGATTTTTGTTTCATTTAGAAAATGATAATATTATTGCAAGGGATTCTTAATATCTTGAAACTAAAAGTCAAATTGAACCTACTTTAATAACATTTTTTAAATAGAACAAATTACGAAGCAAACAAACCAAGCCTCAAACAGGACGCATTTCGGGGTGCATATATGGATATCAGAGTATCCTCAGGAAAGTCGAGAAGTACATATTCACAACATATGAATTAGGAAATAGCATAAATACTGGTAGTGAGGTATATCATTCTTAAAATTTATTTAATGAAAAAATATAGAAAATAGTTATTTATGCATCAAGTGTGTAAAGTGAACCTTTTTTCACGAACGTGAATTTTGACGCACAAGCCGAAGGCGAGTGCGACAATCACATGAGTTAAAAAAGGTGCTTTACACAGGTATTGCATACAAATTTTTTTCTACTACCAATCAAATATGTGTAAAAATATTAATTTAGACAAAAACTTTACGCACTAGTGCGTGAAGAATTTTCACTTTACGCGCTAGTGCGTGAAGTAATTTACCAGAAAATTGCCAAATTGACAGTGTCGACATCTGTCATTAATATTACTTCACGCACTAGCGTGTGAAGTGAATTACTTTACGCACTAGCGCGTGAAGTAAAATTTTACATCTTCTGAATAGTGCATGAAGTGAGTAATTTACGCACGGTAGTAGAAAAAAATATTTTAGAAGTCGTGGATAAAGTGTATTCAGTATTCAGTATTATTCTACTGGCAAAAAAATGCTTCTGGAGACCGAAAAGCGATAAGTAACTAATTAATAGTATGTTACGTAAGAAGTCCGGAAAAGAACTGTTTTTTTGGGACGAGTAGACGAAGATCCAGGGCGGAGCGTAAGTAGCCGAGTCCTAACCTGGAAGTCGAGTTTGAAAAAAAAAACTTTTTGGGCGTATTACTTACACTATTTTTTCGGCAACCGTCCTGAAAGTACTTTCTGGACGCGATTCACTTCCAGGCCTAGGCTGAAAAAGACATACTTTCTTAAGTGAAAGACGTCCGGAAAGTATGTACTTTCCGAACGGTTGCCGAAAAAGATTATTTTTATGAATATTAGAGTTTCTGTGAATTTATTGACATAGTTGAGAAATTTTCTTGCCTCGACTAGGATTTGCACCCAGGACCCTAGCACATTTAGTGCTACGCTCTACCAACCTTTAACAGGGACTTTACAATGTGTTCTGGAATTGAAGAACTCATATTGGTTTTCAAACCCAAAGGGTATCAAGGCCCAAGGGTTGAGAAAATCAAGAAACTTGATGATTTCTCAATCGCTAGGAAATGACAGGTTGAAAATATCAGGAAACCTCAACAAAGTCGAGGTTTTTATCCGTTTTCGCGTGGGGTTCCACTTCGATCTTTCAGTAGGAACTTAACAAAGTGTCCTAGAATATTTCATTGAATTGGTTTTGTACTAGCAGGGGATGTGTACCACAATCGTATTTCAGCAGGATCTTAAAAAAACTCAATAAAAGTGAGGTTTTTATTTTAGCTGTTTCTCCATTTTCTGGATTGAGTTCCACTACCATCTTTTAGCAGGGACTAAATACCTAGTGTACTTGAATAATTCCGTGAATCGGGTTCACAATCGGCAAAGGGTTGGAAATATCAGGAAAACTCAACACAAGTGTTCTTTAAAATAATGCGCATTGGAAAACTTTACTCAAGCTAATAAAAAAAAGACATATTCTGAAAATCTATTGTAGAATCAGTGGTGTCCTAGTTCTCCTACAATTTTTTTTTTCTATTACTGAGCGTGACGTACTTACGTACTCTTTAGAGGACGTAAAATTATATTTCACGCACGATAGTAATTCACCTTACACATTCACCAGTTCTTAAAAAACGAGGGGAAACCGCCAATGTACAAGCTTCATGTAATCCGATGTATTCTTATTTTCTCATGTAATCCGAAATCCAATGTATATTCTTATGTATGAATGCCCTATGTATTCCTTTGTATTCTCATGTATTCTTATACAGGGTGGGCCAGCGAAAACGAAACAAGGTCGATATCTCGTATTCATCGTTTATTGAAAAAAATCGCTCGGACCCGTCGATTTTTATTCGGAGGGGGAAATCTTTTGCGCATATTTTCAATGTTGTCACTTCAACCCTCTCGCGGGGGTAAGCTCCAACCCTTAAATCTTAAATGGCAGTAGGGGTCAAGCGATACCTCATTTTAAAGGTCACATATAACACAAAATACAAACCCAAACTAAAGTTAAGTTCAAGTTGTGCAATAAACCTACATACAAATAGTTATTTTCCTGACAAGTGCGCAAAGTGATACCTTTCCGCACGAAAAAGCAGTTAGGGAAGCTTTCAGTGCAGGAAAGATACTTTGCGCAAGTGTTAGGAACAATACTTTTTCTACGAGTGTTTGAAAATTTGCATAGCATCCAGAGGAGCTGTGCCTAATATTCTTAAATGTTTTCCAGATCCTCAAAACTGGTAATTTTCTCTCTTAGTTCAATGTGCTGTGTTTTCAATTTTTTTTCCAGTGATCAGCTTGACTTTATTTGCAACAGTGGTTGTGCTAGCGAAGTTTACTTGA